TCACATACGTCGATTATTGAAACAAGCAGAATTTATTGCACATTTAGAAAGACTAACATCACACAGAATTTTTCACAATAAGTGGATACATCCTCGTATAAGATTATTAATACAGTTGCGGCGCGATATTTCCAGAAAAATGGTAGTGTCTTTTCGTTCAAATTATTTTCAGTTTAAGGAACGGTATTCTAAGATACCTACTCATTTAATGGAAGCTTTATACTTGCTGGCCGTCAAGACATCTCGCAAAAGGTAAATATTGTTATATAGAATTATGGCATAAACTACATTTAGAATTCGTGAAAAATACATGCATTCAATCTAATTATGTAATTTGTTAATACTGTAATAATTATGTAATTTTCAGTTCAGAAGAAAATTGGAAATCTGATGACAAAAAATGTGTTTCTATGATAATAGAAATGATAACCAATATAGAAGAACAAATACGGGAAGTGAAAGCACATTGTTATCCTAAATTAATGACGAAAATCGGAAATCCTTACTCTGACATGTTTTCAGAAGAAACATGCAACAAGACTATGACGCTGTAAATACTTGATATATTGCACATATTGTGTGCAAGTATTCTATACCAAATAATGATACAGTAACAGTTTGATGACGCAGGTTTTTGCTGCTTACAGTACTGGGAACCTACTCTCTAATGCAATATAATGTGTGTATTATTGTAAATGTACTTTAACATGTAAACTCTGACTTATATAAAATAAGAAAAATAAAAGAATATGTTTTACATGCGTATATTTTAACTCCTATATTATGTCATAGAATTATTTCATACTATAATCGTAAGTTAGCAATCTGTCTAGTCTTCTTACTCGCAATTTTTTGTATTTGGCGGGAAGACTCGTGACAAATCGCAATAAACTCAATGAGATGAGAAAGTTTGTCGAGATCGTCGTAGTACAGGTGTCCGCAGGAGCGTACGTCGACAACATTTATGGGAAAACAGATATAGGTAACACAATCAAGTATAGTTGCGTAATTTGTAATAAAAAATTTTGTACGATGTTCCATCGTCGTCATACTTTAGAGATCAGATCTTTGCTTGACCACACGGTGTGTCTAATCAGCACGCACCTACTTTATGAAGATTTACGATCCTTGGTTCTGTTCAAGAGATACGAGTTTTATTCAGAGACTTAGCAACTCTTTTAGGTATAAGAGTTTGCTTAATTAATTAATTATACCTAACCAGATGCTTATTGGATTAACCATTGCTGACCAGACGCCTATAAGTCTAATTATAATGATCAGACGCTGATTGTCCTTCTTCAGGACCCGGCGTTTCGCCACACCACGTAGATATCCTCCTACACTCTCGCTCGACGCCCGCTCATTTCATAATTGTTCGGACTTCCGAAGCGCAGCGCAGTAGTTACATAATAAAACAATATTTAATAAATACTCTTTATCCTCACTACCTCAATTTGTGATAAACATTTTAAATTTTTTCCTTCTTATAAACATTTATAAATAAAAATTATTTAATTACTAATAAATAAGGATCATAAATTTCAACAAGTTCTTTTTTTACTACTTTTGGGCGTTGCTAAAGTGAAAGGAAAACCCAGACAGAAGGTTGCAAGGACGAGTGAAGAATGTTTGTTTTGACACCCCATACGTGTTCACATTCTACTTATGTCTTACAAATAACTAGCATTTGTAAATTGTTGTGCGATAATAAGTGTAATTATATATTGTAGTTTACTATTTTATGATAATTAAATGTGGTTTTTTGTATTGCCAATTACAATATCCACAATATATATTTTTATATTAGATCATAACATTGATTGGCAGCAAAAATAAGAGCTCGACACAGTCGCTAAATATACTTAAAATGAGTTAAATATCAAACTTTTCTCTAATTCTTTAATATTATTTTATAATATCATTTTTTAATATTACAATGTTAAATCTTTTTGCAATAATTCTATATTACAAGAGCAATAAATTTTTGAAGTATTAGAGTATTATAAGTAATTATAATATACAAATTCTTATATAAATAAATAAATATATATATATACAGGGTGCGTCGCCAAAATCCGGACAAATTTCAATTTGATATTCCCTCCGTTCAGTACCATTGGCAGATGTCGCGATTGGCATTCAAATAGCTTGACGCATGTACTAAACTACCATAACTTCGAAACAGTCGCAATGTTGAAACCCAGTGCGGAGT